TTCTGAAGGCCACTTCCTAGATACGCTTCATGTTGTGTACATAAGCAGTTCCTTTGGAGCAGTTCCTTTACAGTGTAACAGTTAACTCAGATGAATTACTCAGATAGTTAGATACAGCAGCACCGTAAGTATTTGTAGCATTTATTAACATCCTAGGGTTTGTTAGCAATGTATACCACTTTATGTTTGTTTCAGCTGAAAGAAAAAGTAAAAAATACAGTCTCCAAGCTGAGCATATGCTTTTATGATTCATGCAGTTGTGTTGCTATTTTGGGTCTCAAAACTAGCAGGGAAGCTACAGACATGAAAATCATTCTTTTGTAGGCATAATAAGCAAACTCATTATAAAAATACCCTATATGCAATACCTTTTCTAAGCAGCTGAGTGTTACCAACGATAGACAAAAACGCAGTCAGCATGACAGACAGCATTTTCAAAACTAATGCACAAGATGTATAGGACATATCCTGTGTACATATCGTGCAACAGCTGGGCACATTATTTTGGAGGGCCAGTTTACTTTTTGTAAATCGCTTGAAAATCAGGTCTGTGTGCAGCATGAAGAAATTGTGTGGGATATTCATTTCAGTTCTCAGTTTTTATAGTCAGAACATTGCTTTTTTCTATGGGATCTTTGTTTCTTGGGGGATTGTGGGCAGTTGTTACGAGCAACATAAAAGTGTTTGGGACATGGATACCCCACCTACACACAGCTATTTATGGAGTTGGAGGCCTTGCTTGTAGTAGCAAAAAGACATGCTAACTAACACACTCTGAAATCCCCAGAGTACAGAGACCAAATTGTATTTGAATGTGTTCGCTAGACTGTTTTAAAATGCAAATTACTTTGTCTATTCCTGAGTTTCAATATGTTTTTAAATAGTTTTTTAGGATACAAGGTCATTTCTGTTGCAAGGGCGTGATCTCAGTCTACATCAGTGTCACATACAGTGTTCATCTTCTCCCTTGCCTGCCTTTTTGTATCACAGTTTCTAAGGGAAATGAACATGGATATTCCTCTGAGCAGACACCCAGACTCCGCAGAGCCACAGCCTGAGCTATCAGAGCATCAGGACTCCAAGATAAAACACTCCCACGCTGGTCATGTAGCATGGCCAAAATTTCACAACCATTGAAAATCACAGACTCTTTTAGCTTGCACAGTAGCAATAAATTAGGAAGTTTATACTGCTTCATTATGCAGAGACCATTAGACCTTTTATATGCAAACTAGCTCAAGACAGGTGATACATCTTTAAGAAGAAAACCTGTAAACCACCAGTTATTATTATCACTGACACTTAGTCCAGCCTAGACATGATATGTCATAATTTCGCTGTTTGCTTAAGAAGTACGTATGGTGGACTCTAGTCTGTGGATTTCTAATGAGAATAAAATACTGGCAGTTACATTTTTAGACAGGGAAAAAGAAATGCAAGCACTGAAAACCCCAAATATAGCACTCACACCTCTAGTATTCAGGCTGCTCCAGAAAGTCATATGGGAAATTACTTAAACAATCAGCTTTTCGATTATCTGTCTTACCATATCCATGTCCTTCTAGACTGTGGCAAGACACTTGAAGGGTGAGCATGTGGAGGGCTACAAACACAGACCCTATGACTGGAGGCGCAAAAAGATTTTTTCTTATTCCACTATTTTTTTCAGACCAATAAGGAGAATTATGCTGAAGCTATAGTTCCTTAAAGTCAGCAGCAAAACTCCCATGGAGAGCAGTGGGGAAAAAATGTCATCTGTGCTGTATGTTCATGGCCTTGCTGCTGACCTGTTCTGTGAACATGGCTTGCCACCTTAAGGCCACAGTTTTCAAAGCAGCCTGGTGCTTAAATGTAGAAACGTAGATCTGTCTTGTTGCTAAAAGTTTCTAAGCAATCTAGTGCTAAATTACTCATTTTTGTTGTAAGGCTTTGAAACCAGTTGATATGTAACCTTTGAACTTACTTTTCTGCTTTGAGAAAGCTCTCCAACAGTCTGTACAGATTGTATTGGTAGGGGGTGGATGCTTTTCAGCAAGGCTCAGTCTTTTGAAGTTACATTCTTACAAAGTCACTCATCCAATTTCTTTCACATTCCAATTTGTTTTTCAACCCTTGTCTTTTCAACAGAGGGGTGCTCATGAGATTCGAGAAATTCGGCAGTTTCACTTCACTGGCTGGCCAGACCACGGTGTACCATACCATGCGACAGGCCTGCTGGGATTTGTACGGCAGGTCAAATCCAAGAGCCCACCAAATGCTGGCCCTCTGGTTGTTCACTGCAGGTAGGTAGAACAGAAATCCCTCTGTTGCATTGTTCACTAAACTGCAGATGTACTTTTGTTTCTCCTGTACTGTGTAATCCCCACCCAGGTTGCTGAAGCCACTGGAGCTCTACCCACAATACCTTAATACCTAAAGTATAAACAAGAATAGAAAAACTGAGTCTGAGGTCCTGCAAATGCCCAAATGCAAGGCTCAATTTCAGTAATCATCCCACTGATCAAGTAGCTGCTGCAAGATGAACCCTTACACTTTAAACTTTCCAATACACTGCTGAACGTTAACTGTGCTCTTCTTTTACTTTAGTGCGGGTGCTGGCAGAACTGGATGCTTCATTGTTATTGACATCATGCTAGATATGGCAGAAAGAGAAGGTGTTGTAGACATATACAATTGCGTGAGAGAGCTTCGATCTCGGCGAGTTAACATGGTGCAGACCGAGGTATTGTTAATCTACTGGAATAGTGCCTTATGCATTGCAAGAGAAACTACTCTTCTGGCCCATAAAGCTAGGGCCTTTCTGTGGTTGACGCCATCCAGAACGTAGTTTATTCAATTGTATGCAGAAAAAATGTCCACACACAAACCTGAAGAGCCACTGCCAAATAAGTGCATGGTGATGCTGCACTTAAGGTTCACAATGGGGTTTTTTTTTAAAAAAAAAAAAAAGGAAAATTGTGAGTATTTCCTTTCTGGGAAGGATTCATTCTGGAGTACGTTTTACTGAGTCTCAGTTATGTGATAGCACCTACAGAACTGTGCAGAGGAATGGGGAAACCAGAAACATTCTGAGATTTATTCTGGAGTTTCACTGCACTTCTGTTTGTACTTGTAACTAATTTGAGTCAATCCTTCTATATTCATTTCTAAATTAGTGGAATGAAGTTCTATGAGCTGCTGTTGTTGGTTCCATGCTGGTAAAGTCAGAGGGAATTAGTGGCAACCATAACAGTTGTTACTGTTTATTTACCAAAATACTAATAGCATACGCCTTTTATGTCAGTAAGTATCTTAATTGCTTTACCAGGAACAGTATGTATTTATCCACGATGCTATCCTGGAAGCCTGTCTTTGTGGGGACACGTCTATTCCAGCTTCTCAAGTTAGGTCTGCTTACTATGAAATGAATAAACTGGATCCTCAAACTAACTCCAGCCAGATCAAAGAGGAATTTAGGGTAAGTTGTGGCTAGCACTACCGAGAAGTTCTGCAGTTCAGGTGTACTAAAGACCTCTGCTTAAGTGCTTGCTTATAATCATGTGAATTTTGGACCTGGGAGGGAAACACTGCAAAAAAGGGAAAATAACACGTCACTAATTGTTATGAATTATGCTATATCATAAAAGAATGCAGTGGGGAAGTAGTAAAATCTTCTTCCCACTCAAGGGATGTCAATTGCTTCCACTGTCCTTTCTTCAGAAGGCAGGTTATTCTGCAGCTGTCTTTGAGGTTATTTTTCAGATCTGTATGCTTCCAGGATTTTTTGCTTCTAAACCCTGCTGACTGTGATGTGTTTTCATTTCTTTGCATATTGATTCCCACTGAAACTGAATGCTGAGCAGATCTATTCTTAAATATTTTGGGATGCTTTCACTGCTGTGTTAATTTCTCTGTTGTATTGTTTACTCTTTTTGAAAGACTTTAAATATGGTGACTCCAACACTGCGTGTAGAAGACTGCAGCATAGCACTTTTACCACGAAATCATGAAAAGAATCGCTGTATGGATGTTCTGCCTCCAGACAGATGCCTGCCTTTCCTCATAACGATAGATGGGGAGAGCAGTAACTACATTAATGCTGCACTGATGGATGTAAGTCTCTACTACACCATTAATAATAAAAAGGGAATAAGAAGCCCTCCAAACAGAGCAATGCCAGAAAGTGGAGTCAGCATAAGAAAGCTGAAATCTTTCTAGCTTGTTTTCCAAAAACATGGCACAAAATCTTTAAACTCCCAAGTACATTTAGGATCCCACATATGTTATGTCATAGCCAAGGTTCAAAGCCATGCTCAGAGAGCAAGTCAGGGACTTTTGATAAATTATATGTGTCCGGATTTCTCCCTAGTGCTTAAATTTTTTACCATATGGCCTAGGAAAAATAGAGTTACCTATTAAGATACTAAGGCAGTTAAATAGGATAATAAGGTTTGCAGCAATATTCCAGTTCCCTTTGTTTCTAATTTAAACAGTAATTAACAAAAAAAAAATATTGTGTGTCAGCACAAGATAGTACACAAGCCATTACTTCAATCTTTCTATTTATTTCTGTTTGAATGAATGATTCCTCTTCATGTGTGTGTGGATTATTTTTTCTAATGCATCTATGGTCATTCTAATCCTGCTAATAGAATATCAAGTAAAAAGACACTTAAGCCGCCTTTACAGTCTGTAGATATTTATAGCCTATCTTTGACAATTTAGAGTTATGGTAATTACAGTTGTCAAACACATAAACAAGAAACCAGAGGTTAGCAAAGAATGAACACATTGTAAATGGCCTTTCTGAAAAATGAAGCTAGAGTAACAACAGTTTATAGCAGTTTTTGCATTTCTTTCCTTCCAAGTTCTCAAAGCATTTTGCTAAAATAAGCCTAAGTTCAAAACACTCCTCTGAAAAAGTAACTGTTATTATCTTTATGTTTATCTATGTAGAGAAACTGAGAACAAAAGTTTAAGCAACCTCTCTAGGTTCTCACAGTAGGTCAACAACATTTCATATTAGAATGGAGCTTCCTTGATCTGCAATTTTTCAACCTTGCCATTACATTGTCTTCTTTCCTGGAGAGTTCAGTACTGTTTTGTTCTGTAAATTAAGTATGCTCAGAAAGAAGAGTGCAATACTTGCTTTGAAAACACTTCCCTTCACTATTGAAACGATGAGCTGCATCTAAAAGTGCATCTGGGCATAAGGCTCTGAGGAAGGAGGTGTCTTTCCACCTGAAGCACCCCAGAGAGGCTCCTGTAATGTCCCTGCACTGATGAACAGAAGCAGACATTAGTCCCTGTCTCTAAAAACACAGCACTCCCTCTCCAGCAGGCAAGATGGTGCATTTCACCCTCTCCACTTCCATCAGCTGAGATGCAGTTGGTTCACCTCATGTAAGCCTTTAGAGCACACTTCAAGCAAAAGGGGTAAAAAGCATAATTTTCATTACTCAGCGTCAGAATGAATTTGAGAATGGTTTTCCCTAAAAAAACCTACTGGGGCTTCTAACTGAGGGAGTAATGGAGAGCCCTTTGAGCATCTGCCATCTGCATGCAACTTCCAGCAGGAAAAGACCTGTAAGAGAGAAGGCAGCTGGCTGATGCACTGGCAGCATCAATACCTGCTGGTGCAGTTTGCTGAAACCGAAACAAAGAACTTAAGTCTTGCATGTCTTCATCTGTACCCCAGAACACTTTGGATTAATTTTCTGTGTTCTTTTCAGTGACTGTCTCTCAAAGAAAGATGCAAATAGTTAAAAAGATTGTATCTCTGTTGTGGTACCAAATACTTCAGTTGCAGGCACTTGGAGGCTTCCCTGCCTTCCTTAATAAAGGCAATAGTAACCCCTCCAACAGTTACCCCAATAAAGCCATGCTGGCCTTCAACACTCAGGAGAATGTAAGTGAAAATGCTAGTACAAGATGCATGAAGGAACAGTTCCACCAAACAGCTCACTCAATGACATAGTCTGGTACTAAAAAAACCAAAGAGCACTGAAATTTATCCCTTGGGTATCCTCACTGCTGTCAGATAGAGCAGAATTTCAACAATATTTCTGAAAAATAACTAGATATTCCCTTTCACAGGCATCATTCAAATTAACAGCTAAGTGCAGACAGCCAAGATTAATCAGTCCATTAACAGCTCAAAATAAAACTGTTGCTCAGATATTTGTAGTAATTGCATTGGTGGCAAAAACTTATGATTATTTGACTCTATGCCTGTGGCATAAAATGCATTTCAGAAATATAACATCTGCAGAAGTTGTATTCTGCCCAAACACAGTTTATTAACTTTGAAGCATAGAAAATCTCAGGAAAGAGCTGAAAACAATGCATTAATTACAAAGAAAATAGAAATAATACTTTCAGTCCCAAAGTTTTTAGGCTATGACAGGATAAATGGATTTTTACCTCTTACCATTCCTCTCACAAACTCAATGTTTCTTTGCAGAGCTACAAGCAACCATCAGCTTTTATAGTTACACAGCATCCCTTGCCAAATACTGTCAAAGATTTCTGGAGACTGGTTCTAGATTATCACTGCACTTCACTCGTTATGCTGAATGATGTGGATCCTGCACAAGTAAGTCAAGAAAACTGGTCTATTCAAAAGAGTGCTAGTGCCTCAGCATTTCAGAACAGCTTTAGGATGTAATTAGTGTTATAAAACAACATTAAATACTAACACACTGAAAGATTGATTTGTAGCTTCTGGATATTGAAAGAGGAATAAATCAGACAATCAGCAGCTTCTCTACCAAAATGTTAATGTACACATGCAGAAGTGTGTATACCCATAATTTATTCTGATAAGTGAACATGCTTTTAGAAGAGCTGCTAAAAACCAAAAATGATGGTTGTAGAATTTTTACCCAAGTCTGAAACACACCAATAATAGCCAAAAATTGTAAACGGAAGCCAAAAGCTATTCATTAGCCTGCCTGAAATAGGTCAATGACCTTGGTCTGCTTACCAGGGGATAGGTATTCCCAGTGTAAAGATCTGTTATGTTTGGCACAGAATGACATTGTTAGCAGAGAGATAGGAACTAAGCAAGACTGGGGACTGAACATCCTTCAGAAGAGAAAACAGGGCAATGAAATGTATGGGGGAATGTAATTACCTTACAAAAGAGTTGTGCATGCTGTACATGTTCTTTAGAAAATTGAAAAACCGTACCTACTGGTTTGGCAATTTAATCACTAGCATTAATCACTGAGAGTCCTAGAGCCTGGCTCACAACTGTGCAATTCTAAGTTCTTACACAGATATAATTTTCTTGGTTCCAACAAACAGCACCAGCCATCTGCTGGAATAACACAGTGGTAATCTGGATTCTTAATATGTAAATATTTGCTAATTATTGGTTTAAGAGCAATTGTTATTTTTTATAGCAGACCACAGGTCATTTTTATTCTTGACATGATCAAGAATCTTTTTAGCTTTGTTGATTATTGCATACGCTTAGAAAAATGTTTCCTCTTACTTCTTTTTAACATGAAGAATTTGTTTTTAAAACGTAGTAATCTTCCATTTTGTCTTTCAAAGGAATGCGTAGGAATTCCACACACTATTTTAAAGATCGAATTTCTGATTCCAAGCCCTTAACTGTCTACAGGGAAAAAAATATAAATGAAAGACAAAACTTCTATTCATGAGCCTCAGATTATTTTCTGAGTGAATAAGGAAAGACTCAAGGGAGTCAAACTGTTAGGGGCTGCTGAACGGAGTTCTTTTAATTTGTGGGCTGTGTTTTGAATCGACAATAGTGCATGGCTATTTCAAGCATTTATTAGCCTCACAGGGTTTAAAAGCTATTGGGATATGCAGTTAATGCACCTGCCTCCGCAGTATGTTAAACCTTTTTCCTCTAATGTGAGTAACAATCTTTTCATTAGGAATAAATCTCAAAACCACCCTCAGAGCAAACAGAAATGGAGAGAGGGCAGAGCTTATTAAAAACATGCATTACTTTCATATTTATTAATAATCAGAGTTATCACTATTGTTCATTTATATGTGGAGTGTTTATAGCTCTGTTTAGATATTAAAATTTATGTGGATAGTTATGCTCTATTGGGAAATGAAATTCAACCCTTCACAGTGACTCTGACTTAAAGAGCATCGCTAGCATCACATGCATGCAAAATGCACAGACCTATATGCTTTTGGTTTCTTTAGAACTTGAAATTGTGGCTTCCTAAAACAACTCCAGAAAACAGCTCTGCTTTTTGTCATTTAAGCATTTTTCAAAGATCTGTTTGAACAGTATTCCTATGTGTTTGAAAGACATGTACTAAATTGTGCACGTTAAATGCCACTGGCATTTGCATTAGTTGTATGCATTGCATGTTGCTACCCTGTACACAAGTATATTTTGTACTAAAAAAGTAAGTAATATTTAGACAATATTTGAAAGTAATTTGCTCAGCAGATCAAATCATGGAGGGGGGGTTAAAATAAATGAGAAAATACTTTCTTACTCAAAATTTCTGGGTTTAACTTGTTAAAGTGAACTCCTGCAAATCAAACCCTGTTCTCTTTTTAATTGATGTAGTAAATGATTATGTTTTCCTAAAATGTAGTCATGTCTAAATGTCTTTTGTTGAGGACTAAGCGTTAGAAGAAATGCAAAACAACATCTGGAGTAAATGTGATTTGTCAGCTCAGCTCTGGATCACCAGCAGCAATGCAGCAGAATGAAGACCACAGCTGTTTTACTGAATGAAATAAAGTTCCAAATATGACATCAATGCTTCTGCAAGCAAACAAAATTTCACAAGTTCATACTTAATTTTGGTGAATGCTTGCAAAAGCGACATGCTTGAACTGCTCTAAATATCCTTGGGGCGGAGGGGGGAAATCATTAGGGTTTTTATGGAAAAAAACAGACAAGCAGAGTCTGGCTTCAAAAACCTCCTTGCAAAGTGGTGATTTAGTCTTTAAAGTATTAACACAGATGATAATTGGTTCCTGGATTAAGGCGTTGTGATATTATTAGAAACTAAAACTGTGCAAGATAATGTTAATATTACTTTGTGATCTTAGGTATCTAGAAGTAATGTTTTCTGAGCACTAAAGAACACATAATTAATATTTTCAGGTACCATTCGTAAGATGATATTGAGCAGTTATTACTTCAGAATGTAAAGCAATTCTGGTATTAGCCCATACCACCAGTCACAGGTTAAACAGATGTGAAAGTTAACTCCTGAGATTTGAGAACTGCTGCACCCTTAATAGTATAAAGCACACATTCTGATGTGTGTTTGAGTTATTACCAACTTTTCAGAACAGTTGGGGATACCAGGACTTTGGTCTTTCAGCTTCATACTGACTCTGAGATACAGTAGTATTTGACAGCACCCCCCTGTCTTGTCATAACATATTGCAGAATTGATGTTGAGTGTCAGATGTGTTACTCCAAATATGAGAATGGCAAGTATAGCAGCAAGCAATAGCATGTTCAGTTAAGTGAAAAGGCATTTGTTTAAACTTGTTCCACACAACTAAAAGCAGAGTGCTCTGAACTGGTGGAAGATGGTGCACTGTGTATTTTATAAAGATATTGTGTGAGAATTTCAGTAATAAATATAGCACATATTAAAATCTAGAAAAGTATACTGAGGCAGCAAGAAATTCAAAGTGATTAACTGTGTTCTGTGTTGTGGTCTTCTATAGCTGTGTCCTCAGTACTGGCCAGAAAATGGAGTACACCGGCATGGTCCTATTCAGGTGGAGTTTGTATCAGCTGATTTAGAAGAAGACATAATCAGCCGGATATTCCGAATCTATAACGCAGCCAGAGTAAGGATGTTATTTGCAAACAAACAAAAAACAATTCTGTTTCAGTAGATGACACGACCATACTCAACTCACAAAAATGAAAGTTAAACTCACATAAAACCATTCTCATTTTTCAGCTTATTTATTTGAAAGCAATGGTGCAATATTGAGTCACACCATCATCAATGAGAAAAAAAGCCTTCTGTGTGTAATTAAAGTAAAAATATTTTAATGCATATCTCAAGTGTGTTACATGCAAATGAAATAAATGCAGTATTCAGATTGTATGGTAGCCAAGAAATGGCAAAATCAGTGCTGTTTTCAACAGTGTGAAATTAGCCATCTTGCATATTTGTATTCCATGCCATGCGACGAAGGCTGTGCACCAATACTAGGCATCTTTGTCAATACTAGTCCCAGACTTTAAGCAAAGATCTTGTCCCACTGATCACACTTCATAAGATATGTAAGCACTTCATCCCACACTTCGAAGGGACGAATATGTTCTCATATCCAACTTTTATGCTGCCACAAAATTGACAGAAGACTAAAAAAGGCATGTCTTCAAAGCTGAGTGGAAAAAAGATTCCACCACAGACCGGGTGTCTCTTCCCATCCAGATGGAAGGAGCCTTTGCAATGGACTGGTATCAGTCACCAAAGAACTATAG